AAAAGATGAAGTATGTATCCTTGGTACGTACTTCTGCCATTACTTCTGCCATAGTAATTATAACATTTTTGTACTAATTTGAAAATACGTCCATTTCCCTGACTCTGAACTCCTTGAGAGAAGAGGTCATGATTATCTTTGTGTCTCTTTCAAAAAAAAACCAAGTATTCAGTGTATTTCCTGAATGAAACAGCTCCATAATTCTAGTACATAGAAAATCCAACTTCCTATGACATGTTACAACTTAATACAGTACAAAGATTAGAAAAACGCTTCTTTAAAAATCTCCCCCTCACTTGTCTGTGTCAGCTAGTGACAACCTGAGGTAGATGAGTCCGTGATTACCACAGGGCAGATGCTAACATTATCTTTCTTCCTGCTACTCTGAAGATTTAGCAGTTGACAATTAATTCTTATTCCTGTTACAATCTCTTAACCATCAAAAGTCAGTATTACCCCAGCCCTTGGCATGCTTGAAAGGAAAGAGAAAGAACACTGGCATAGCATTCATAGGGCTGTAAACTCTTAATCTGGTTGATTTTCCTGACCTTTATGTGTCTGTTCATGGCAGTGGACTGTGCTGCTCGCACCAGACCCTCCAGTTCAGCACCACTGAAGTTCTTGGTCTCCACGGCAAGTTCTTTAATGTCTACATCAGCAGAGAGCAACTGATGCCCTCTCATCCTTGCTGTGTGGATGTGAAGGATCTGTAGTCGACCTTTCTCATCTGGCAAACCTGATACAATTAAAAATAAAACGGACATTTTTCTAGTCTCGAAAGCATCATCAGAGGAGATTATTATAATCCTAATGCTTTTCTTATAGGTACTGAAGCATGTAAACATCTGCTTCTCATGATATAAAACTTTTCTAACAAACACTAAGTCATATGAAATTGTTCCTGCTAATAAACCCTAAATGCCAGACCGCACCCATACTGATCAGTGGCAGATCTGCTTACCTATTTCCATTTTAACTTCCAGTCTTCCAGGTCGAAGGAGAGCCTCATCTATCAGATCTGGTCTATTGGTCATTCCTGAACACAGATGTTAAAACAACAAACAAATGATCTGAGTTTAAAATTAAGATAAAATGTCCCTTTAGTATGTGTAAGAATAACAATTTACCTAATAAGCTAAGAGGACGTTCTATAAAAGTCAGATAGAAAACCAAATTATTCTCAAAAATAGCATTTGTTCTTGATCTGTTCTAATAAAAATATCTGGAGACTCTGCTGTAGTATTTCACTATTGTACAAGTCAATAGAATATAAATGTAATGAAAATTTCCACTATTTAAAAAGAAAATTTAAAGTTCAGAGAAAGTAAGTAGCC